CCGTCTAATAAACTTCTCATTCTAAAGGTCTACTTCAACTTATATGTGTTCTACTTCGACTTATATGTGTTTCCTTGCCGGTCTACCATCTAAAGGAGCAACGTCCCAAGATGACGAGAGAATACAGCGTCTTCATCCTTAACGTTATTTCCTTTCTCTATAAAACCTTCATGTATGGTATAAGTATTAAATGCGAATGATCTACATAACAAATTCCCTTTGCAGAGAATATTACTGATTCTTATATCATTTTCTGGTTCAACGAGATACTGTGCGAAGGGACTAACAAAAGATGATTCTAAGTATTTAAGTATACCGATTACAAAGTTTGCTTATAATTTTTACAACATTATGGAGGGGAGGGGAAGGGCGTGACAGCAGAAAACAAATAAATTCTCATGCTTACTAACAAAAAGGAAAGATATTTCGAACTGACATCGATGGAGCATCGACGTGAAGAATAAATGCAAACAAAGTTGAACGTCAAAAAAACTTCATTATACAGCGGCTCCTAGATATATTAGCTCTCTACTGCACCAATCAACGTGATCATCAAATTCATAAAAAAGGAAATCAAACCTGAAAGTCTAAAGCGTTGCTCGCATTCGAAGAATTAGGTTATGTTTATGTCATCAACAGAAAAAACTGCATTTAGGAGAAATTACCGGATTCGTAGCTATAAATTCTGTTCAAGTACTTTCAGAGCAAAATTCTCCAACGTATAAAAACCGTGGCTACAAAGAGCAGAAACTTTTTGAAATACTCAAAAATAAAAATCAAATTAATGAGAAGAATGACTCTGCGAGCTTCGGCTAAGAGTTCGCACAAAATGAGATAAGAAAAAGGAGAAGGAAGAAGATAGTAGATGCCGCAATCAGCATTCAACATTCCTGCTTAATGCATCAACTCCACAGCTAATGCACGTGGGAATCTTGATAATATGAATAGGCAATTAGGTGCGAAGTTCCAATAATGTTCAACCCCATCGCAAACGTTTGCCTGTTCATTGTGCTCAAAATCGCGGTTATCTTCAGTAGCATCGAACTATTTCAAAG